GTCTTGATCAAGACCTGCCTTWACCCACTCAGCCTGTTTGGTCTGATTGGAGGCGGCCTTACCTTGACCCCTAGGCTGGCCCTTCCCTCGGCCAGCTGCCTTAGTCTTGACTACTGCGGCGAGGGTGCTACCCTCAGCTACCTCCTCGTCGTCATACTCTGAATAGTCCACCAGGTCAGAGAGTTCGTCGATTTCAGTTTGGGTCCCATCTGACTCAACCATCATCAACTTCACCCCCTTCTTCTTCCACTCCTGAGGACTCTTCTTCTTCTTTGAGTCATTCCCTGAGGTGGGTTGAGCATTGCCTAGCGTGGCCTCTAAGTCTAAGGCTTTCCTAGACAATGTCTCAAACGTGTGGTACTCGGTGCGTGCCTCACTGGCTAGTAAGTTCCTCATGTTCTCTGGGAGACATCTGACAAACGTAGTCAACAGGAACTGGTCGTTGTAGTTGATACCTGGAACGAGGATCAGGCTCTCAACGGTAGTCGTAAGCTCCCTAACTGACCTGAACTTGCGTTGGTCCAGTTTGTTAATGGCATCAGTGGCCCTTTGTGCCTCCTGTGGATTATGCCATCGAGCTTCTACCATTTCCATGAATTGGTCTAGAGTCAAAGACTTAGCCCAGTCCGTCATGCGTCGCTCGTACCCGGCCTTCACAACTACACCGTCTAACCATTTGGCTGCCTTACCCTCTAGGTAAGATGCCGCTGTTACCACTTCGTCCTCAGGCAAGGTCCTTTTGGCCTTCACCCAAACCGGGACTGTCCTCAACCATGTGTTGAGTTCCTCATCCTTTTTCTCGCCTGAGAAAGCAAGAGGCGGTTTCATCGGGGTTTTAGGGTACCATTGACCTTGCGGTTGTCCTTGTGGAGGACTAGCCTGTTGCGGTGGTGTAGCAACCACCGCTGGACCCGAAGAAGAAGATGCAACAGTCTGTGCGACTGCTGCAGATGTGCCACTTGGCTGTGTGCCAGCTTGAACCGGAAAGGGGCCTGACATCGCTGATAATGACAACGGCGATTGTGCTGGTGGCTGGAATCCTGGCTTTGTCAATGCATCTAGGATCTGGTCCAAAGTGCTCTGCATGAAGTCCATCCTGCTGTCCACGTGCACATGCAGTGACAACATGTTGTTCTTCAACACTTTCAGGGGGTCAGACAAACCCGATTCATCCAATCCCTCTAACGCAGCCTTGTCAGCCTCTAACGTATCAAGTCTGGCCGCTCTACTTTTTATCTCTTTTTCTCTATCGGTAGCTTTCTTCAGATCCTCCTCTAACTGCCGGCGGAGCCTCTCGACCTGTTGGATCTCTCTAAGCTCCCTCTCACGTGGGGTCAATGGGCTGAACTGTGAGCCCGCCATTTGACTAGAAAACTACCTAGACCCTGTCGAACCGGAAGTGCCTCAGGAACTTGTGGAATTCAGTGGCATTCCCAAATGAGTCCCACTAGTCCCTGACGAGGACGCAAACGATGACACAGCAGAGCTTGCGCCGTTAGCCATTGCTGCTGCTCTGGCTGTTGTTGCCTGCTCTCTAGCTGCAACGTTTGCTGCGGCTATCCCCGCTGCTAGAGCACGGGCTCTACGTTCGGCACGAAGCCGTCTTTCTTCTCCCTCGTCTAAGGTCCTGAACACGTGCGGAACCCTTAATGCTTCCGAACGTGTAAGTCTCCTATTGTCAGCTCTATCATTACCAGGATCTGACCCACTCCTTAGTTAGGCAGATAGTGTCTACACTAGAATCCCCTAATGGAATCCTACCGCAGCATGTATCTGACCGACACGTAATTTTCTACAAATAGTTGTGTCCGGCGAGTTCCCTACTGTACCGAATCAAGTGGCATGTCGACAACATTCACACAAATTGTCTACATAGTCTAGATGCACCCTGAATGGTTCACTTACAAGAGCATTAGTTAGAACTGGCTATGGTAGCATACAACAGTCCTACACTAATCTGTCTGTGAGGTTAGCTGTCCGTCAACCAACTAATCAAAGGTACAAAAAGACAATGTAGCAGATGTATGATTGATGGGTATGGTTGTGTATACAGTTGAGCACCAATTGGAA